ATATATATATATATATATATGCAGTAAAATGTTTACAAGGCATTTTAATGATGTGAGGAAATACCCAAGGTTAACTGATAATTGAAAAAAACAGGATTCAACATTATATATCCATTCATTGGACAGCTCAGCAAAGATAGATTAAGAACTGATAAAGTTGTTTCACTGTATACCTTTTGACTTTATTGTGTACATACATTGTCAATTTGAAAGGACTAAATAAAAATCAAAAGAAAGCAAATAATGTATGGTATTCAATTATATGCAGATATAATGTGAAAATAACAATAGTATTTATATCTTGGTAGTGAGATTGTAGTAGTTCAATTTTTCTTTTCTGTATTTTTGGTTTTCCAAAATTCTTCATTGACCTTATATTACTTTTATAGTTAAAAACAATAGAAGTTACCTAAATTAGTGAAAGCAACTAAATTATGGATATATGAAAAGAAGATCATGGAAAGAGTATGGCTAAAGGTAGGATAAGAAGGAATGAAAGGTGGGAACAACCCACACGTTCATAGACAGATGAGTGGATAAACACAGTATGGCATATACACACAATGGGATATTCAACCTTAAAAAGGAATAGGAAATATTTTTTTAAAAATATATTTTATTGATATTTTACAGAGAGGAAGTGAGAGGGATAGAGAGTTTTGAAACATCGATGAGAGAGAAACATCGATCACCTGCCTCCTGCACATCCCCTCCTGGGTATGTGCCCGCAGCCAAGGTACATGCCCTTGACCGGAATCGAACCTGGGACCCTTCAGTCTGCAGGCTGATGCTCCATCCACTGAGCCAAACAGGTTAGGGCAAGGAAGAGGAAATTTTGACACACGCTACAACGTGGATGAATCTTTAAGATATGCTAAGTGAAGTAAACTAGTCACAAAAGGACAAATATTGTATGACTGCTCTTATTATGGAGTATCTAGAGTAGTCAAATTCATAGAAACAGAAAGTACAGTGGTGTTTTCTAAGGGTCAGGGGAGGGGAGAATGGGGAGTTAGTGTTTAATGTGTACAGAGTTTTGGCTGGAGAAGATGAAAAAGTTTTGGAGGTGGATGGGAGTAATGGTTATATGGTAACATGAATGTAATTAATGCCAGCACACTGTATTTAAAAATGATTAAAATAGTAACATATTTTACTACAATTAAAAAGAAGGGATGAGCTTAAATATGAGTAGGAGGTTAAGTGGGCAGCTAGAGCTCTTTGGTCTTCTCTAGCTGGAGTGGCTCTGTGGCTAGTACCACAAAGCAGTGCCACTGACTCAGGGATGCAGAAGCACCAGGATCTGCTATGTGTATTTTTTCTCCTTCCTCTGCTGCTTATTCCTCTAGTTTAGAAGGTATTGGTAAGCGAGTGGCTGAGATAATGGCTGAATGTTTAGTCTGTCCAGATCTATTAAACAAAAGAAAGTGAGCTCTTAATTAAAAAATTCTGAAAGTAATGTAATATGAAAATAAAGCTATGAAAAGAACAAAAAAATAAATGAATGTTTATGTAAAATAGCTTTAACTACATAAAAACAAAATATTTGTATGCCAAAATATACAATAAAACAGAACTGACAGATCTTGAAATGTATTTTAGAGTATAAAGGACAGGTGAAAGATGGCTTCATTTAGTGTATAAGAAATTTTATAAATGACCAACTTATTTATTATTAAGAAAAAACCCAGCCAAACCGGTTTGGCTCAGTGGATAGAGCATCGGCCTGCGGTCTGAGAGGTCCCAGGTTCGGTTCCGGTCAAGGGCATGTACCTTGGTTGTGGGCACATCCCCAGTAGGAGGTGTGCAGGAGGCAGCTGGTCGATATTTCTCTCTTATCGATGTTTCTAACTCTCTATCCCTCTCCCTTCCTCTCTGTAAAAAATTAATAAAATACATTTAAAAAAAAAACAAAACAAAAAAACCAAACGTCAGAACTGGAAAAATGAGTTAAGGACAAGAGAAGTCAATTCACAAAAGAAAAATGTTAGCACTGTTCAGTGAAAGATGAATGATGGGATGGAAATACCTTGTATAAGACATTCAGCAGTCATCACCCTGTCTCTGGGAATTAATCTACCCAAACTTCATGTTAGACATACAACTGGCAATTTTTTCCCCATTAATCTGAAGAGAAGGTGTTTCCTTAGAGTATTTGTATCCTATTTCCAAGGTCTCACACTATAAACACTATATTTATTGTCTTACTTTTTAAAAAAACCCTGCTTAGGAGAAAGAGGGAGAAAGATCGGTGCCATGAGATATGAAAGAGGGAAGTGTGGGCTTGTTCCAGAAAAGAGAGAGGGTGCGCAGAAAAGAGAGGGAAGGGAGGTGGAGAAAGGCTGGAAGGATGTCTGCTTGGAGAAGGAAGGCACAAGCAGATTTTTGAGGGCAACATACCCAGAACGGCAGGAAAAGGCCATCAGATGCAGGCTAGCGGTGGAAAGATGGCACTAGGCCTTAGAGGTGAGTTGAGCTGGACTTGAGTCAGCTTGAAAGAATTCAGAGCCAAGGAACTGAAATTATAAGGGCAAGTTTATTTAGAAAGTTCTGAGGTAGTAGAAGGGCCCTTGGAGTTTAGAAGAAAGAGGGAGTTAGATAGGAGCCTTGAGAGATGAAAGAGGGAGGGGAGGCTGGGGTATGCTCCTGAAAAGAACGTGCTGGGAAAGCAGAGGGTGGGGAAAGGCACTGCATGCTCCACAGAGAGAGCCACTGTCGTGCTTTTTAAATGATTCTGTTTTATTGCTTTTCCCCCAAAGTGTGAAAATGGTCTAATTGAATGTTTAATGTATGTTCCTTTTAGAAATAAGTGAAACCAGTGAATCTCTAAAAACCAAAATGTCTGAACTTCGCCTCTACTGTGACCTTTTAATGCAGCAAGTTCATACGATTCAAGAATTTGTTCACCATGATGAGAATCATTCATCTCCCAGCATAGAGGTATAACAGGGATATCCTTTTATATCTAATTATGCTTTGCAGCACTTTGCTGTCTTCAAAAAAAAAAAAAAAAAATGGGAGTTTTTATTCTACCAACAAAGAAATGGGAGAATGGGCCTGGGGCAGACATGAATGGTATCTGCCACTAAGTAATTCTCCAGAATTTCTACTGCTGTGATCACCTTTGGAATTCAGATAGTTATACAATTACCAGTTAGGTTAGGTTTATCTAAGATAAATTCTGTACATGGTTTTTCAATATAAAAAACTTATTTTTTCTTGGAATCTAATTTCATACATTGTTTGCCTGAGAGAGAGGTAATTATTCATGCATGGCTTTAATTTTGTAATGTAGTGTATTTTAAATAGATTTGACCATAACCTAGTCAGACGTCCTAGTCAGTACTTGATTATAAGGTAGTGCATGAGTCTACATAGTCATGTATGAGTCTGTTCAACTCTGTGTGTAATTTTTCAGAACATGAATGAAGCCTCTTCCCTACTTAGTGCCACATGTAACACGTTCATCACAACGCTTGAGGAATGTGTGAAGATCGCAAATGCCAAGTTTAAACCTGAGATGTTTCAGCTGTCCCATCCGGATCCCTTAGTTTCTCCTGTGTCACCTTCTCCTGTTCAAATGGTTGGAACTTACAGTTTTTCTTCTAGTAATATTGCATGTAGTTCTGTTTTTGTTTTTATTTTTAAGGGTGGAATCTGACGGTGGGTGGGAAATAGTCAACAGGTTAATTTTTTTTTAATTGTATTCGTATTCTCTATTGGAGCCTTTCATCTGGTGAGCTCAGCATGTGCCAAGGTCCTGAGCCCCTCCCCCGGAGGGGCTGTACCATTTACCCCACTGTGCCAGGAAAACACTACAGTGTTCTCTGGGTGCTGTGACATGAAAACGGTTGGGGAAAACTGTTCTGTTTGGTAAAAACATACAATGGGGTGATGTTCACCCACAATGGGATAAAGTTAAGCAAATCTTTACAGAAGTTGTAAGGAATTTGAAACAACTTGTTGAAGGGGAAACAGTATTTTGTAGTCTGCATTTGGATTTGAACCTTCTGAGTAGGCAAGTTTCTTAATCTCTCTGGACCTCAAGCATTTGTAAAAAAATCAAGTATCTTCTACATCAGAGGCTCTTTGCAAAATACCTGACCTGTTTATATTAGGGGATGTTGTTGGGTGAGTAATCCTAAAGGAAGTGATTTCTGTTAAAGAAGGTATTGTAATGTGATTTTTTTTTATTTAAAAATTTTTTTAAATATATTTTTTTATTGATTTCAGAGAGGAAGGGAGAGGGAGAGAGAAAGAGAAACTTCAGTGATGAGAATCATTGATCGGCTGCCTCCTGCACACCCACTACTGGAGATCGAGCCCACAACCTGGGCATGTGCCCTTAACTGGAATTGAACCTGGGACCCTTCAGTCCGCAGGCTGACACTCTATCCACTGAGCCAAACTGGCTATGGCTAATGTGATTTTCTTACATCTGATCATTAGACAAGTACTCTTTTTGTGAGGGACAGCATATTTGTTGTCCTTTTCAAGCTACTAAACTTGCTCTAGCATACTGTGGGGAACTCTCAGGTGAGAGAAGGTTTGATGAGACTTTACACTTTTTTCATGAAACTGTTTTCAGGAGCCCTTTTTTGAAGGAAAAATGCCACCTGGCTACTATTCTAGCAATTACCTGAAGACTTATTTATTGGAAAAAAGAATAGGTACAATTTATTCCTAGGTTCTGTTACCTACCCCAGCAAATGTAGTCATAAGAAATTTAGTAAAGATTATTATCTAAATTTATTTAGGTCATTACTTTTTAATCAATGTATGTCTTCTCAGATAGGTATACCATGAAAACGAGCTTTATGGCCAGATTCGTTTGGGAAGTGCTAGGTTAATTTAAAACAAATTGGGTTTCTCTGTCATCTCCGTCATATGTCTTTTATGCTCAAGTGTATTATGACCTCTAAGAAGTGGTGTGCAGTGTTTCTGAAATTTGTTTGGCAATTATACCCTTTTTGTTTATTTTTGAATAACATCTCAGGACTGTAGCATTCAGTAGAACACAGTTTGACAGTTTTGTTTTTAGAATAATTATAGACATACTGTAAAATGTGTAATAACACATATAGCTCAACAAAAACATGATCTTTTGAGATGGGTATTTGGTGCTGTGTTCCTGAGATTGATGGACAAGAGGTCCACTGTTCTTTTTTTTTTTTTTTTATAAGTACTTTATAGTATTAAGAAAAGAATCCAACATGTTTTTGATATGTGTTGAGAAAGATTCCCATTAATGGTTATTAGGGAGAAAGCTTGAAATTGTGCTAATAATGTTACTTGAGTATGTAAACATAATTGTTTTGGCCAGCCATTTTTTTTTTATCTGAATAAGAATGATAATATATTAGAGCTGCTTTATTTTACTTGACTAATGGATTATGCTCACTTTTTAAAAAAAATTTCTAGATGAAGCGTTCTGTCAGCCACCCTGGTCCTTGCAGTTCAGAGAGGTAAAGTAACCTTCTTTTGACCAAATTCTCCCAAATTTATAGCTACGTAGGGAAATTCTTTGAACATTTAACATAAAGTGGTGTGGAATGTAAATTCTATATGGGCAGAGTCTGGTTCTGATTTGCTCAGCATTTCTATCTCTTGGTGCTTAGTATAGGGCCTGGCCACAGTAGGTAGTCAGTAAAGAAAAAAACGAGTGAATAAATTAACCAGCAAGGTAAGCCAGCTATTATACTTCTTTGAGATGTTTAAAATTATATTAAATGATATAATTTGATGGTTTATAAATCAAGTTTTGATATAACAAGGCTCCAAAGCTTAGGCTCATTTTGCTACTACTTTTAGTGCATCATATATTCATACTGAGCTGTTTTTCTTTCTTTTAAAAACATATTTTTATTGATTTAAAAAAATACTTTTATTGATTTCAGAGAGGAAGGGAGAGGGAGAGGGAGAGAGAGACAGGAACATCAATGAGAGAGAATCATTAATTGGCTGTCTCCTGCATGCCCCCCCTGGGGATTGAGTCTACAACCCTGGGCATATACCGTGACTGGGAATTGAATCATGACCTGGTTTATAGGTCAATGCTCAACCACTGAGCCACGTTGGCTGGCTGAGCTGTTGTTTTATTAGATTCTAAAGATCTTACTGAAAAGAGAGAAAAATCAATTGGTATTTTAAAGTATACACACAAATGTATACACACACTTTGAATAATTATAAAGGCAGTGTTTATTAAAATACATTTCATTTTCAAAATTGAGCTATCAGCTGTTAAAAAGTGTGCATACATTTTTTGGGGACACCCTGTATATTCATACAACACATTTAAAAATTTTATGTGCTAGATAGATCTTGCCAATATCCCAGGCTACTAGAGTATTTTATCTTGGTAGGTGATGTTCTTGTACATTGCTCTGGTTGTCTTATTTGGTTCATTGGAAAGTGATGAAATTATAGTGACATTAGCATTTATTTCTTTACATTAAGAATAAGTGCTGAGCCCCTGTTACTGCTTTGCCACCTTTTTTCCTCTCTGATGATTAAATAATCCTTGATTGAACTATCATGTGCTCAGAGGTGTTAAGTGATGTATGTGCCCCATGTATCCAATCCTATCGGAATGAAGAGTTTTACCAACAGAATTTTCCAGAAAAGTAGCAGCTTGATCCCTTTGACAAAATTTTACATTTATAAGAGAAAGTTTTCTGAACTGTATTTTATCCTTTGTACCTTGGTAAATAAGATATAAACTTTTTTTTCTTCTTGATGAATCAAGGTTGTCATAAGAACAGTAATGTTGGGCTTTAATACATTGATAGGCAAGATGCTATTGAGTGGCAGTGATTTGTTTCTACATTGAATTTTTTTATTGATTTTTTCTAATTTTTGTATTTTTTAGATTTTTTTTTAAATAGTTTTTTTAGCCTCCATTTGCCATCTTTGTCTTGCTGCTGTTAGTGAGTTGACCTTTAGTATGCTTCCACACTACCTGCCCATCCCCCTTCACCCTGCTGTTTTTAATCAGATATGGATTGACACTAGATCTGTGCATTTGTGAAATCCGTAATTTTTAGTTTTTAAACATTTGTTAACCATCTGATATGTCTTCTGTCTAGCTGGATTTTCCTCTATTAAAAAAAAAACATTTTACCCCTTTTCCATTTAGTTTGGCTCAGAGGTCATATTCTCCAGGTTATCAGCTGGATTCTAAATGATTTGACTTGCTTGTGGCCTGACCTCTGAACAAGTAGAACTTAACTAAAATAGAACTTTGGGCATAAAGATAGTTCCTCTTTCATTAAAAGAAAAGTCATTTAAAACTCCAGATAAGTTGAGGGTGTTTTCATTTGTTTAAAACTACAGTTTAATGCTTTTTATTTCATTTGCAGGAGTAACCACTCTATAAAAGAACCAGCGTCTGCACTTCACCGGCTCTCCCAGCGACGCCGAAGAACCTATTCAGATACAGACTCTTGTAATGATATCCCTCTTGAAGACCCAGATAGTAAGTTAGATGGGTCTGTCTCTTTCTTTGGTGTATTCAGCAAAATTATTGTGGGGCTTTGTAATTGTTGAAATGAAGAATACTGACAAGTGAACACCGTACTTGGGCCCTTAGATTAATTCCTTAATTCAGAGCTAAGCAGACAATACATAATCAACAGAAGCTCATATATCCTCTTATAAACATCTTTGTTATTAACTGAGAAGTGCTGAGTATCTCTTTATAAATACCTTATCTTAGACTTATATAGAATACTGAAGTCTTTTACTCCCACTACATTTTAGTAATTACTTAATAATTTTCTACTCCCAATACATTTGCATTTAAAGAGCATTTTAGAAGAAAAAGAATAAATTGTGGGATTTAGGGCAAGTTCAAAGTACTAAGAAAATAAGAAAAAAATACAGACAAGTTCTAAGTTCAAAGAAAAAGTCAGCATTGTTATTTAAATAATTTGAAATGTCCAAGGAAAATAATTTTTTTCCTGGTGTTGGTAGTGAATTATAGTAGCATTTATTCCTATACCTTTTTATCCCTTAATATTTAAAGAGGTAGCATACTGTGATTGAATACTTTAGGAAAGGTTTTGTGATTTAATAATTTTTCTTTGCAGAGAAAAGCTTTAAAAGTGTGTCAGACGATCTATTTAGACTGTAGTGAATATGATTTCTACTGAACACAAATATGGTCGTATTAACATTAATAGGCTTTTGCTTTACAAAGTCTTTACTATTGCCTATGAAGTCTGTGGGCTAGAAACTACATACAGTTCCCAATTCTGTAACAGATTGTGTTCCAAGAGTTCATTTGTAAGTCAGTTGTGTGGAACACAAGTCTTATTTCCCTTATGGAAATGATAGAAAATGGCAGTTTGATTGTTTAAAAAAAAATACATACATACACACACACACACACACACACACACTGATTTCAGAGAGGAAGGGCGAGGGAGAGAGAGAAAAAGAAACATCGATGTGAGAGAGGAACACCGACTGGCTGCCTCCCACACGCATCCTGACCCAGGATCAACCCTGAAACCTGGGTATGTGCCCTGACCAGGAATCAAACTGGCAACCGAAATGGCAACCTTTTGGTGCCAGGGACGA